ATGATGCAAATTATTTCCTTAAGAAAATTTATTGAATAAATGAATGTTTTTTAAAATTTAATTCTCATAATTCAATTTTAAGAAACATTTAGTTATTCAATAAATTATTTATTTTTGCATTTAAATAATTAAATTCTCGTAGAATTTTCTAGTAAAAATTTATTTCAAAATGGATTCTAGTCAAATTTTTAGATAATAATTAAATATTAAAAATATGCCATGAATTTTGATATTAAAATTTTTTGAAATTCAATTGCCAATGATGTGACGAAGATTGACCCATTAAAGGCACATTAATGGCACTTTAATGACAAAAATTTTGTATCTTTGATGGCAAAATATAATTGCCAGAATTGGGGCGTTGCTTGGCCCAATAATGGCACATTCACGGCAAAGTTGATCAATCTTTAATGGTAAAAGACAATTGTCAGTGATGTGACGAAGATCGGCTCATTAATGGCTCATTATTGGCACTTTAATGGCAAAAAATTTGTATCTTTCATTGCAAATTATAATTGCCAGTATTGGGGCGTAGCTTGGCCCAATAGCGGCACATTCATGGCAAAGTTGATCAATCTTTAATGGCAAAATTCAATTGCCAGTGATGTGACGAAGATCGGTCCATTAATGGCTCATTAGTGGCACTTTAATGGCAAAAATTTTGTATCTTTGATGGCAAAATATAATTGCCAGAATTGGGGTGTATTTTGGCCCAGGAATGGCACATTAATGTCTATCTATCATTTTGTATCTATGATGGCAAATTATAATTGCCAATATTGGGACGTAGCTCGACCCAAGAATGGCACAGTATTGGCCAGTGTAGTGTAGCTTATAAGAACCCTTTTGCTTCCTCGACTTCAAGTCAGAGTAGCAGAGTGATCAGAGTGTTAGGCTGTGGTGCGTCAGGTTCAGGTATCGATCCCCGCGAGATGTAAGAATTTTTCAAATATTTGTAAGTTTGCGTTTAATTTAGGGAAATAAGCCGTATAAATGTTATAAATTAATTAGTTAATTAAATAAAAAAAAATTTATTTTTATTTTTTTCTAATTTTGTCAACACTGGGGGAGTAATGGCAGCCAATATTGGGCCATTAATGTCTGCTGAGATCTGGCTGCCAATAATGGGCCACTAATGTCTGCCGAGATCTGGCGGCCAATATTGGGCCATTAATGTCTGCCGAGATCTGGCTGCCGACGTCCAACCGCGGTTAACACCACAAGAGGCGGCGCAAAGTCGGGCCAATATTGTCTGCCAAGTCTCGATGCCAGCTTTGCCAATACTGGGCCAGTGTTGGGCCGCGTTGGTTTTCGCACTTGGGACGTTAAGGTTGAGGTAACCTTACACGTTAAGGTTGAGGTAACGTTACATGTTAAGGTTGAGGTAAGGTTATATATGTCAAGGTTGAGGTAAGGTAATTAATAAGTTGTAAGGTTAAGGTAAGGTTGTGATAAGTTTACCAGTTATGGAAAATATTGACAAAATAATTAATAATATAATAAATAAATATTAAATTAGAAAGTTAAGTTTGTTGCTCTTCTCTATTTTGGAAACCTGACATGACCCAGGTAGAAAAATTTAATGGAAGCCTAGATATATGCTAGCGCCACCACTGGAATTTGCATGGCAGTTTATCTCGCCGACGTCTTCTAGCGCCTTGAATGGCGCGAGCACTTTCCGCTAGAATACAACATAACCTCAAATTTCTGTTGCATAAACTGTCAAAGGTGTTTGCTTTTATTTTTAAAGTAAAAGTAAATGTTTGCTTGTAGAATATTGTGGCATTTAAAAACAATAATAGTAAAGGATTCTAAGTATTTATATATTTGTAATTGTATTAAATTTAAATATAAATTAATATTGCATTATAAATTTCTTGTTCATTCGTTAATTTATACACTTATTTATAAAAGAATTTTTAGTATATATAAGTCTTATTCAACCTCCAAGAAAATTTTTAAATATATTTTAAGTAATTAATCTAACGATTTATCACCAAGAATAACAATAAATACTTTTTGATGGATCAAATATATTATTAATTTCTCTCCATTCGAATTAGAAAACATAACCTCAAAATAGATTTATTTTTTCTTTATTTTTAATTGACCTGACAGAAAAGATTTACTGATTTTAAATAGGAACTTAATTTTTTCAATTATTATTATTATTATTATTATTATTATAAAAGAATTGGTTAATTTCAAAAATTTTAATTTCAATGTTTAACATGTGTAACTATTTTTGACACTGTTACTGTGAAGAAATAAATAATTTTTTATGGAAATTTAATAATAATTTATTCTTAAAATTTCCATATTTAAAAACAATTTTATACAGCAAATAATGATCAAAATTTTGATTACGCTTGGGATTAAGAATAGGTTACCGTTTTCTGAATTAAAATCTATTACCACAACTTTAAACGAAATGTGTATTTATCTTCAAATACGTTTGAATTTCATTGCAGGCAGATAATTAGTAAATGTTTTTTATATGTACACAATTTTTTTAATTATATTCGTCAAAAGAAATGACACTTGAATCATCTTTTAATTCGCGAAATAAAGTTTTGGCAGGTGAGGTTATGTTCATTCTAGCACTGCGAGCAGAATGCGAGAAAGGCGCTAGACTAAAAAAGTGTTTCAAATGCTTTCAGCGCCACTACAGCGCAATGGAACGCAAGAGTGGCACCATGCTAGCGCCACCAAATTTTTCTACTAGGGGAAGCAGAAAATTTTGAAAACAAATTTGGGGGGACTGGGATTCGAACCCGGGATCGACGCGCATAAACCAATCATTCTAACTAACTGACCCAGATAACAAAATGCGCGTTGTGTGCTACTAATATCATCTGCACGCGTGCCGATTTATCCGCACTATGCGCGTTCACTGGACCACTCAGATGCGTCATCATATGCGATCCATAACTGTCGCATATTGTGATGGGCACATGCGTGACGGTATAATGCGAATAAATTATATTTATACTTCAGCCTTATTTGAATTAAATAAAAAGAAAAGATTATTGACATTAGTAATTTTTTTTAAATTAAAATGTTATTTATAAAAACGATTTTAATTTAATATTTCAGTACAATTTTGGAATTGAAATTGTTAAAAACTTCCAAATTCTTTTTTTGAGGTTATATCTAATACAACAAAAATATATATGTACTTTAAACAAATTAAATTTAACTTTCTTATTTTGCTGCAGTACTAAAAATTAAATCCACAATAATTCCTCACAATAATATCGCAATAAAAAACAATAAAAAATGAAATCACAATAAAAACTTATTTTGATAACACACCACAAACAATGCTGTCGCCATTATAAAATGTGTGATTGCCGATACGGGTGGTTGTGCATCATTAATTGCGTGCGTATTAAGTGCAGTTCACTGCACACGCATTCACAGCATTCGCACTGTGGATGGTAAAATGCGTATGGATTGACTCTTCTAGCGAGTCGCACTTGTGAACGGAACATGCTTATCATTTTGTATCACAGGCGCTTACGAAATGCAGTTCACAACACTCGCATTATTACCAGCGTCACAGACGATAGTAAGATGCGTATATGAACCGACTCATCTGGTAAGTCGCAGTTAGTGCAAGAAACATGCGTTTAAATGCGACGCACGATTGTTATCTGGGGAGCTAAGTACAGAACTGTCAGAAGGAAAATCAATTTTGCCTTTAAGGTGAACCAAGAATATGATTAACTCCTTAAAGGCAAAATTAATTTTCTTGCTACCAGTTCTCCACTTAGCTCAGTTAGTTAGGATGTTAGGTTTATGCGCGTCGATCCCGGGTTCGAATCCCAGTCCCCCCAAATTTGTTTTCAAAATTTTCTGCTTCATATCAGGTTTCCAAAATAGAGAAGAGCAACAAACTTAACTTTCTAATTTAATATTTATTTATTATATTATTAATTATTTTGTCAATATTTTCCATAACTGGTAAACTTATCACAACCTTACCTTAACCTTACAACTTATTAATTACCTTACCTCAACCTTGACATATAACCTTACCTCAACCTTAACATGTAACGTTACCTCAACCTTAACGTGTAAGGTTACATCAACCTTAACGTGTAAGGTTATCTCAACCTTAACGTGTAAGGTTACCATAGCCTTATCATATATACTTACCACACCCTAACATGTAACCTTACCTCCATGGCGGAAGTTTTTAGTCCACCTTAGGTCTACCACAGCAATATCGTGTAACCTTATGAGCCTTACGATTAGTATTCAACATAACGTTACCTCATACTATTGTGCTATGTGGGAGCTGTCTAAACGTCTGGTAACATTGCACAGAATTTGCTACTCAAAACTAAATGTAAACAAGTCGTATACGACTTGTTTACCTTTTACAACACGACTAAAGAAATGCGGTGTTGCCAGACGTTTCAAAGTACCAAACAAGTCAAATCACAAAATAATGGTTTCTGTTTTGATTAGTTAAGTGAAGCAATAGAACCTCCTTAAAGAATAAGAGTTATGAAAATTGTTTTATTTCAAAAGAAATTTATGAGTGAACAAAATTGTTTTTGAGAAATAGTAAATATGAAAAATGGGTATATTTTTAATTTCTTAATCATAAATTTTTAATAAATACGAAGATTATTAGAAGTAAAATTAAGAAAGAAATATCAAAAACTATTTATTATTTTATAATTGAAATTTAATAATATAACAATTTACCTAAATTTTCATGTAGGTTCTTCTCTATGAGGAAGCAAAGTTTATTCTTAAAGTGAAAATAATAATCATTTTTTTTTAAATCGTCATCGCTGTAAAATTTTTCTACGAGGAAGTAACATTGACAGTCCTTCCTGCGTTTATCTAATAGCATACATTTTTTTATCGATATCTGTTATATAATGTCTTAAAAATCAAAATTGTGCGAAAAAGAGATTGAAGAATATTTTTATCAAACTGTCATATTTTGCCTATTGCGAATTGTGTTCTCATTATTGTTTCAGGAAATACAACAAACTCATTTGTCCAGCTTAAACAAATTGCAGGTACTAGATTTAAGTAGAAATTACATAGGCCGTCTAGGAATTAATGCCTTCTCCAGCCTGCCAGCTCTCACAAAATTAGACCTCAGTCTCAATGCTCTCAGAACAGTAAGTCAGTTAAACTTTTTCAATTTTCGAATAAATACATTTCAAATTACGCTGGGGAAAAGGGACCTGTAAAACTCTAAATAATTGAAATTTACATTGCTCTTTACGATGTTAATTATGGTTGCCACAAAATCTAGATTTCAAAATTCCAGGCTTTTTCCAGGTTTTCCAGGTTAAAAATATTAAAAATTCCAGGTTAAAATTTAGGAATTATTTGTGATGAAAAAACAAGTATTTTATAAAACTGCATTTTTATGTTTATTTTTCTGAAAGTGATACTTTTGATATTCGATTTTTCAATATATTTTTTTTAAATTATATGGTTTTTTCTATTGAAACTACTTTATTTCATACTCAACAGTAAGAATTTAAGTTGCGCAAAATTAATTTGAAAATATTAAAGTCTTTCTTCTTTGAATTTTACTCGGGCCAATATGTAAAATTTGAATATTTATAAAAGCAATAATCAAAAATAAAAGCAATCAGACCATTAACTTTATTTGAATGTGCATTCACATTTTTTTAGAATATTTTTAATGTATAAAAACATTATTAATCTTTTTAAAGTAATTTTAACATAAACGGAATACAAAATTTAAACATTTTTATCACATATAAAACGGAGGTCAAAAAATTTTTAAAATGCACATAATGATAGAAAAAACATTGTATTTTCTGGCACTATTTTTAAAAAATTTCTAAGAGTTTGAAAAAAACCTTAAAAATTTAGTTTTCTTATAGAACTCCTATTGGAGGCATTTTAAAAAGACTTTAAAGATGAAATTATTTTAGGCATTGTATATAAATTCAGTTTAATAAAATTGTTTAATTTTTTTAATGATAAGTAAGTGCTAAATTTTTTCTATGAAAATGGTTAATAATATTATCAGAGAGTAGATTTTATAAAATTAATCGAGATATCAAAAATGTCACTTTTAGAAGAATCAGCCATAATTAGCACATTGAAGTCATGTCTAAATTAAATAATTTTCATCTTCAAACTTTGTTCAAAATCTTGAACAAAAAGCAACTGGTAACAAAAAATTTTGACAATCGTAATACTAATAAAGATATAAAATCCTATTTTTTACAGTTTTAGTCAATAATTAAAAAGAAAAATTAAATTAATTTAATTTAGTCAATAATTAAAAAAAAATTAAATTAATTTAAAGAGAAGATAACATGGAAAAGGAAAATTGCATGTTAACATTTTTAAAGAAAAATAACATGTTGAATGAAATTTTTCTTAATATCTTTCATTAACCCAAAAAAATTCCAGAAATTCATTCAAATTCCATGCTATTTCCAGGTTTTCCATACTCTTTTTCAATTTCCATGCTATTTCCAGGTTTTCCAGGTTTTCCAGGTTGTGTGGCAACCATGTAATATATTTTTTTATTATTTAAATGAATTTCTTCACCTGTAAAGTAAATACTATTATTTCAATTTTTATTTCTTACTCATGAGAAAGTAGAATCATTAAATTAAATAAACTCTCACCAATGAAGAAAAATTGTCTTTTTGCTTTTAGTGAATCAAGAAATTCCCAATATACATTAATAGATAAAATTAGTCACTGAAAAATGCAATCAAATAGAATTAAAACAATTTTAAAAAGTTGTATGTTGCAAAAATAAAAAAAAACAGTGGAACATTGAAATAAGTTAGGAAAGAACTAAATTCTATATCATTAAATTAAAGTTATCTTAAGATGCGAGTAAAATATTAAAAAAATATTGCAGATTGAAGAATCGGCATTCGAAGGACTAACAAAATTGGAATGGCTATCTTTGGAGGACAACAACATTCTTCTAATTCCTGCAACAGCTCTAGCTCGTCTTCCTTCGCTCACTCATCTACAACTTGAGTTCAACAGAGTGGCTGCTATTTCTACCGAATTGATACGTTCGATTGCTCCAAATCTTCTCGTGCTGGGTCTAAATCGTAATCTCGTTCGCGAAATTCCAGCTAGACTTTTTCACAATTTCGAACGACTAGTCAGCATTGAACTGTCAGGCAATATTCTTTCAGCAGTGACACCACATACATTCGCAGGCTTAGAAGACACTCTCTTGAGTCTCGATCTCTCTAACAATCGTCTAACTTCAATTGGTGAAAATCTGCCCTTGAAAAATCTTTTATATTTAAATCTATCTGGCAATCAGTTAAAACGTATTTCGCCAGAAATATTTCTCCACCTCTCAAATTTAGTGACTCTCAATTTACGAAATAATCCATTATACGGCGGATTCCCGCCAATATTTCCTCAGTCATTGAGAAAACTCGATGCCTCTTATACTGGCTTAAAAATTTTACCGGCAATTCTCTTTCTCAATCTTCATAGTCTAGAGCAAATTTCCCTTGCCGGTAATAAAATCAAAGAAATAAATGAGAATACATTCCAGCATTTGTACAATCTTACGTCTATTGATTTATCGGACAATCGAATCGAACGAATTGATAGAAGCGCGTTTGTTGGTGCCATCAATTTGTACAAGTTGAACTTGAAGGGAAATAAATTAACGTCATTTGTTGGAGAACATTTCAATACTGGAACGAATCTACAATTTCTGGATTTGTCGGATAATCTTATTAATCAATTGTCGCTTACTTCATTTGTCATTCATCCCAGATTAAGGGAATTAAATCTAGCTGGAAACAAATTTACTCAATTTCCAAGCGACTTCGTTAAAACACTTCAGTTTTTGGAAAAATTGAATCTCTCTAGAAATATGTTGCACGTTATTGATGAATTCGGATTTTCACAGGTGAGATAAATTTAAATCTGTTTGAATTACAAAATATTTTATTCCTCTTTATTTTTCAGATGGCTCGCTTACGAATTCTAGAGTTGTCGGGAAATCTAATAGAATCTGTCGAAGAGCTTGCATTTCATAATTCAACTCAACTGCAAGTAATTGATCTCTCCAACAATAATTTGGAATCGCTCAGTGAACGGGCACTGGAAGGTGTTCTTCGATTAGAATATTTAAATCTTGAAAACAACAAATTGACCTCTCTCTCAGAGACAATATTTGACCCATCAAGAATACGATCAGTGGAAAGAATTAATCTGTCGGGCAATAAATTTACTGAAATTCCAACTCGTACATTGCAGAAGCAATCATCGTCACTTTACAGTTTGAACATGGCAAAAAATAGACTTGTTGAGGTGTTTTCCCAAGATATCGTTGGTAATGTAAAAAGGTTGGATCTCTCTGAAAATTCACTAAGTGAGAATGCAGTACGTGGAATTTTGGGCGACGCGAAAATTTTAAGATCTCTAAATCTTGCACAAACTGGAATTAAAAATATAGCACACCTGGAAACACCATTTCTCAGACACTTAAATCTCTCAGGAAACAGTGTCGCAAATATCAAGCCCACTGCTTTAGAGCGAACGACTATGTTAGAAAGTTTAGATATTTCGCAAAATCGTTTGACTGACTTCACTGACATGATAGACACATTCAAAACTCTTCCGGTCCTTAAGAGTTTAGACATATCCAGTAATCCAATTAGGACTATTAATGAAAGCAGCTTTGAAGGACTGGAAATGCTGCGAACCTTGAAGATGTCCAACTTTACAAACTGTACTCGAATTGAGAAAAGCGCTTTCAAAACGTTGCAGAGTAAATTAAAGATTTTGCAGGCTTACGACTATCCAAGACTCGGTTATTTCGATTTACAGGTAAATATTACACAAAGTTAATATAAAAACTATTAATAGAACTCAAACTCAAAACTAATTAATAAAACTCTCTCGCTACCAAATATATATTCTATATAATTAAAACTCAAAGAGAAGACCACCGCCGCAAAATTTTTTTTTTGACTTTCTACAAAAATTTTTTTTTTTCTTGAACTTTTAAAACATATATTTCATTTTCAAAAAAATGCAAAATGGCGACCAATATGACGCATCTAAAAAATAATGTATTTTTTAATAGGGAAAACGGTGGGCATTCTACACTGCGCAATTTTTAGTCTAAAACAAAAACTCAAAATTTTTTATAAAGATGACAACCTAAAGAAAAGGTTATACCTATAAAATAGTTAATAAAATGACTAAATGGCGGACACATTATTATATAGGTATAATCCCAGTAGAATTTAGTTACCTTTAATTAGCCGCAAACCCGAAGTTGATTGATTAAATACCCAGGCGGAAAAGTCGGACGAATACCGGATCGTCCAACCGTCTAGCGCCCGCGCCGGTTGAATTGTAGAGTCAATGCCAGTGCAGGCAGTCTGTACCGATTCGGATGAGAATGTCTGCTGGCGCGGTACAAAGTCGGATCCGACTTTCGGTACAGTCTTTCTACTGTCGGCAGTACAGGCGCGGTACAAGATTTGATCCGACCGCCGGATCAAAATTTATACCACCTCGCAACCGGCGTTGTACTGGCATTCGTCCGTCTAACGACCCGAGCGGTACAGGCATTCTACCGACTGAGAACTATATAATTTATTTTATTATTAATATATTAATTAATTTAATTTACTTACTCATTTATTGATTTATTATAAATAAATTATAAGTAATATTAAATAAATTTGATTGGATTTATTTAATATTACTTATTTGTTTATTTATTGATAATAAATCAATAAATAAGTGAATTAAAAATTATTAATTAATTAATTTATTAATAAGAATATGCTTAGAATATAGTAATTGTTACTAGTTTTCAAATTAGTTTTATTTTTATATAGGATAATTTTTTTTTAAATTCGCTTTTAAAAATCTTACCACAAATATCTTTTAAAATCTGACAAGTTTTTCTATTTTTTATAATAAAAATTAATAGTAATAATAAATTTAATCCATCATGCTTTAAACATTTTTTGTATTATTAATTGTTAAAGAGCCGAAAGTACATTCGCACTGTCATTCTATTGCAAAATGCGTCCGGCTCGGTGCAGGTTTCAGCCCGCCAAGCACCCGGCGTTGTACTACTGGCATTCGTCCGTCTAGCAACCAGCGCGGGCCAAATTATATTCTTTATTAAAAATTAAAATAAAAGAAATGTTTAATTAACTATGCAAGGTGAATGTTAATTAATATTTCTTTCAAATTAATTACATTTATCTTTTTCTCTTTTTTAAAAACATTTATAAAGTATAAATGAAACGCAGTAAATTACAAATGTTTATTTTAGTTAATTTTCTATTGATTTCGAATAGTTATAAAGTGAAGTGTTCAACTAATTATTCCTAAATAATAAAATAAAGATAAATTTTAAAAACATTGAAGATTAAACAAAAATATAATAAAACTTTAAATTTATTTGCATAATATAAATAAAATGCTAAAATATTGAAAAATATTTGAGTAAAAATTATTATTCACTTTATATATAAGTTGTAGTTTAGCGGTATTGTATATTGGCGTTGTTTTGCTCATATCCGCAAGCGAGCGAATAGCGTAGTGGTTAGCGTATTAGACTTCGGTGCGTAGATTAGGATAGGCTTGGGCTTCGTATCCCACTGCGAGCGTTTAGAATTTTAATGTGTAAAAAAAATGTTAAATGTGTAAAAAATGCTTCAAATGATCTATAAAAAATGTTAATTAACATGCACCATGCATAGTTAATTAAATATTTTTTTTATTTTATTTTTCAATAGAGAATATAATTTGGCCCGCGTCGCTTGCTAGGCGGACGAATGCCAGTAGAACGCCAGTAGAAAGTCATGTTTCGGAACAAAATTTGGCCCGTCCTGGTTGCCAGACGGACGAATGCCGGTACAACGCCGGTTGTTCGGCGGCATCAAATCTGTACCGAGCCAGGCGCGCAGCCACTACAACACATTGTCAGGTTCCAGTACAATTCCTGTACCGCTCCGGTCGTCAGGCGGACCCATGCCAGTACAGTCTTACCGACGTCTGTACAGGCGCGGTACCCTGCCAGTGGGAAATTTCCGCCTGGGTAGTTTAGACGCTACGATGCCCACCAGTTTGAAAAATCTTGTTTCGAGAAAAACGCGTTTAAAGTTTGAGAAACATTTTTGTGCAATAATTGTATTCTTTGCAATTCTTTATGTTCAATTTGCGTATATGATAAATATCTATAGGTATTTAGGGTCGCTCGTTACGATTCTAAGGTCAGATTTGCAAAATTTTTAAAAATCGATTCAATTTACCTGACATTTGTTACTTAGTGCTCGGGACGCCGGTGAATTCAAGACTCCATAAAAACGAAAATATTCTTCGAATAAAAAAATCGCTATACACACATATTCTACATATGGGCAATTCCACGTCAGATTTCAGTTCACATTTTAAATTTAGCCAAAACAATTTTTTTTATTCTTTAGTGAAAAAAATGGATACATATTTTTTTATTTAGTGGCCAAATTTCCGAGTTACAAATTTTTGAAAAGTAGCCCTTTTTTCAATGGCCTATAACTTGAAAGTTATTGAATTTACAAAAATTTCTTTAAGACAAAAAAAGTTTAGTTCTTCTTCAACTTTTAAATGCCGTCAAAAAATTTTTCTTTTTAAATTTTTCCTAAAAAAATAAAAAATTCTTGTAAACAAATAAATTTTATTTTAACTTAGACGTTTAAAAAAATTTTTTTTTAACATAGCTGCCAATGATAAGAATAGTTTGCAAAATATTTCAGAGTGGTCTTCTTGAATAGGATTTGTTAAAATAAATTTTTAATTTTGGCGTGCAAGTTTTACGCGCGCTGTACTGTGCACGTTCAAACAGGACTCTAGGTCGCTAGACTGCAATACTTGCATTGCGGAGGCGGAAAGTGAAATTTTAAATCGTGTCGAAGATTTTTATTTTAAAAGCTGTTTATACGTCTACAGTTTTTATAATGTCAAATAATTTAAAGATAGATGTTGTAATCCTTTTCCCAAAAAAATCATTTTAAATCAACACAATTACGTCGCGTCCCAACGGGAAGTTGCCAATGTTAACGATTGGTTCAATAATGGGCCATGCTTGGTACCCAATGGTTTTTTCTTGGCAAAACAATTGGCAACCATCATTGGACCACCAATGGTTCAAACTTGGGATGATCACGCTACTGCCAATGATCGGTAGCCAAGCATCGGGCCAATATTATTTGCCAAGGAATTGCCAAGGAGACAAAATCGATTTTCAAAAGCTTGATTTTTTATTGGCAGCCAACAAAAAACCAAGGTTTTGAAAATTGATTTTTTTAAATTATTAATTAAAATTTATTTTTAAAAAATATATTTTTCAAAAAATTATTTAAAAAAAAAATATATTTTTTAAAAATATATATTTTTTTAAATTAATAGAACATATTAATTTAATTTGTCACCTCTGGTAAAACAAAGATGAAAGACTGATAAATTCCCTCACTTTATATTTTACAGTGGAGGGATAACTGTGAATGTCTTTGCGAGAGAGGAGCAGGTACTTATAGAGCCAGTGAAACAGGTCACAAGCGAGAAGAAATCACTAGCATGCACTCTGGCGGCGCTTGTCGGAACTGTTTTCTGGCGCGCATGCATATCGTGGCATTATCGACACAGCGCTTGGCAACCAACGTTGCGCCACTTCCGACAAGCGCCGCCAGAGTGCATGCTAGTGAATTCTTCTCGCTTGTGACCTGTTTCACTGGCTCTATATAAGTACCTGCTCCTCTCTCGCAAAGACATTCACAGTTATCCCTCCACTGTGAGATACGGTGAGGGAATTTTTATCAGTCTTTCACCTTTGTTTTACCAGAGGTGAAAAATTAAATTAATACACTGAAAAAAAAGTGCTGTTGAATCAAATATCTCCATGCTATTGAATTCCCCGTCATTGATTCAATGACACATTTATTAATCGAAAAGTATATTGCTTAAAATGAAAAAATGAAACTGTTTAAATTAAAAGTACGGTACTGTAGAATTAATGATATTGTGCAAATTGTTTCTATAGTTCATCTGTACATAGCAACAGAATAATTTATTGCTTCTTTGACATTATTCATTTGAAGCATCTAATAGATAAATTTGAAGAAAATGCATGTAAATTTAAATCAAATGAAAAATTGTTTGCTCTAAAGAAGCGCGCTCTGAAAACGAAAGCATATGCTTTCGTTTCAATGAGTGGTGCTATTGCGGACTGCCTATAGCATATGCTATAAAAATAAGAACACTATGTTTTGAGACATTGACAGGTACTAAATTTATTGAAATACTTACCCACATATATTTATGTTTATTAAACCTGTCGTTTTTGAGATTCCAATATAAAAAAGTATTATTTAAATTCTTTTAATTAATTAATGACTAGTTAAATATAAATTCCCTATATAAATTCCCTTATATACGCGAAAAATCTCGAGCACGGTATTTAACCATAAAGTAAGTGCCCAACGTTGAGAAGCGGATGTATTACATTGCAGCGCGGCGGTTCTCGTCTATCACGGAAGTTAAGCGTCGTTGGTCGCGGTTACTAAATGGATGGGTGACCGCTTGGGAATAGCCGTATTTTTCTGACTAAAAAAGATAAGTGTGTTTGAATGTGTATGTGTGTGTGTGTTTAGCCGTTGGAAAAAATGAAAATAATAATAAAGATGTATATGTTAGTGTGAAAAATTGAAAAAAAGATGTGTATAAAAAGTGTTGTGTTAAAGGTGTGAGAATTAATTATAGTATATAAAAAACATGTGAACAAAAATTCCCTTTTTTCAATTTATCGTTGGTATATATTTAAC